GACGTAATGATGAGTAATCGTTTACGACGATTACATTCCCAATTATTATTGCAGCGAGTTTCTTCCTGTGTAACAATTATGTTACTCGTTAAGATCATCACGTAATACATCATCTCGTGTGTCACGGTGTTCCACCTTATATCCACTTCGATCCGAGATACCATCGCCGATTTATCATCGGCACAGATCAATGCTCGCGCTCGCACAGCATATTATTCACGGCCTCCGTGTGCCGAATTCGCGAAAGAGCGAGTCATATATTGTATGAAGTCTTTTTAAGATTCTAATCAGTTAAAGAGAGATGTAATCTAAGTTTATCACGAAGATTAATATTCATAATATTACGTTTGCATCACCGCTTTGCATTACTGCTATTCCACATTTGCAAAGTTCACGAATCACACGTAGACTTATTTTTGACTTTCTAGAAATAATTCGACTTAGACGAGGCTAATAAAGAAATACAATTTCATCTTAGAACGGATCGATTCTTGCGTACTGTATAGCGCAATCTAAAATTATCTATATCCTTGGGAAGGCCAATCGAATCTTTTTGATTTATTTTCAAAATCAATAGTCGCTCGCAACGCAATCAACGTCGGCTTGTCCAAATTCGCGAGAAGTGCAGCATACGGGGAAGTCCAGAACTAATCCTAGGCACTCTCGACAAAGGGGCTAATCCAAGTCCGGTTTGCGCTCTCTCTCTCTCTCTCTCTCTCTCTCTCTCTCTCTCTCTCTCTCTCTCTCTCTCTCTCTCTGCTCTCTGAGAGCAGAGAGAGAGAGAGAGAGAGAGAGAGGCAACCATGAATTACGCGCTTTCTTGATATCTTGGTTTGAGCCCCGGCCTGCGAGGGGGCCGGAGCAACCGGTAAGCCGTCTGTCGGTCCCTCTGAAGGGCCGCGCGAGCGGCCCTTCGGGGCACTTTGCACAGCCGAGGCTCATCGGCTACAGCGGACCTCCCACGGGCCGACCGGCTCTTCACCATCGAGAATCTGCCTGCTCCTCTCCCTCGTCCTCCTCCTCTTAGCCTTCTTCTTCATCTCCTCCTCCTCCTCCCTCCCCTTCGTCGTTTCTTCTTGCCCATCTCTGTGTTTCTTCTCTCCCTCTCTCTCACTCTCTTTCTCTCTCGTTGTCCTCCTTCGGCTCGTCTCGCGCCGGTCTCTCGATTCGTCGAACCGCTCGCTTCGTGCCATCCGATCAACGACGATTCCACGCTTTCGCTAGCGGTGGAGTCGAGAGAGTCGAACGAGAGTCGAGAGAGATCCGCCGGATGTTGCGAAACCTCAGCGTGACTATCTCCGCGCCCTCCGCGCAGACGAATCCGGACAGTTGAAAGTGCACACCGGATTCGGATAGACGTTAATGGAAAATAAGATGAAAGAGAATATAGCGAGGAGCTGGATGAAAAAATAAATAGAACCTTTTTCTCGTGTTTCTTTTCCAGGTATTCTTAATGGTGGGCCCCACGACTTATTTTTTGTCCGTAAATTCTTCGATTGATTCGGAGTCGATTTCTTTTTCGAGAAGCAATTTTCAATATTAAATATTTTGATGGCCAATACCTTGCAACCATGTAAACTAGAAATTTATTAAATTTTCAGAACCCCATCTCGCAACATAGAACACCGAGCAATTCCGCGTTTATTTCTTACAAACAAATTCTACCTCACGTTGAAGTTGAGTGCATTGAAGCGGTTCTATCATTACTTGTCGGGCCTCATACGTCGCTGCCAAGCTACTATTGTAATTAGCTCGTGCCGGCCGCGGTTATATAGTGGATCGTGCTGATTTGTGAGAAACGATTGCGAATAGCTCGAAGCCTATTATTGCGAGAGATCGGGATGCGTGCGCGCGCGGAGCCGCGGCCGGTGCTTACTCAGGTGTGCAACTATTACGAACACGCGGCCATGCCTACCCGCTCATATTTCTATTCTCATGACCGAGCAACCTGTGCAGCCGGCCTTGACTCGTAACTCGCTCTCTTCTGGCGTCTGTAAAAAATCTCCGCGGAGTCCGGCCCTCTTTTACTAACAGCCGTGACGCGCTTAATGCCGCTCGCCGCGCATTTATCGAGACGAGAGCTCGGCTCTGCAAACGCGCTTCGAAATGCATCCGAACACATTCTCCACCCAACGTACAATACAAAACTGCTAGTTGTTTTTTTTTCCAATTGAAATGTTTGTTAATATTTCATTTTTACTCGTTTCATTTCGCGCGAGAATGAAAAAATGTCAGTCTCACTATTGCTACGTTTCTAATATTGACTAGTTTTGATTGTAAAAATTCGGACCGACTGTAATGAAGGTCTTTCTTTTAATGTAAAAATAATATCTATATGTTGTAAAGAGTCACTTTTTTTACGAAAATGTTAGCAGAATCATTAATCTTGGTGCTCAGTTAAAACAATTAAATCGACATTTTTATCAATAATTGCTTGAAAATGGCAAAAAGTAACGCTTGCACGAAGACGATAATTTTTTTAGAGGCATCTGTACGCTGAAACAGAGCTTCGGCTCCAATCTCGATTATTCGCGCGCGCGATGAGATTGCAGAACATCACGGAGGAAGGTCGATCCCCCGCTCGTCCGCGCAGAAGGTTGTACCGGCTATGTAGTTATGTGCATCGGCTTCCGAGGTTACAGACGGTTAGTAAGAAATACTCCACGGACGATTGTATCGAATCGGACTGCAGCTTGGCAGAACACTGGCGAGTCTCTCTCGCTCGCGGCCCGCACGTACACGCATCGCTCTGTTTATACACTATGGCATAAATGCCCGGAGCAGTCGTGCGATATTACTACCTTGCTTCGTAATGAACCGTTAGCGTAACTCTTAATACCGAAGTATTCCAGAAGCCATTTGGAGCGTGGACGCCGAAGAATTGAAAGAATACAGCGCTCGCTTCAAAATTTTTACAAAATTTTTTTGAGGAAATCGTGTGAAAGACATCAATTTTTGTAAGTTAGAATCGTGAAATTTTATTTTTTTTAAATAAATTAAATATATAATTCTTACAATTAGTTTATATAGATTTAATAATCTTAATAAATTGAGATTGTAAAATATCTCAAGTTGTTTGTACCAACACAAGTTTTAATAAATCGCGATGATAAAATTGTAATTTGACTTTTAGATTATATAATTACAAGTTCATTAGCCGGTAGTTAGTTTCCTAGACGGAGCTTTACGAAGCAAATCGCATTCCGCAGAACAGCCTTTCCATCATAGCGTCAGAGGGCAAATCGAGCATGCGAATCGAGCGTAAACGTTATTGGATGCGCGGCGAGCTCGTAGGGAACGAAGTTCTAATGGGAAATACGGACCCTATCGCGTGTTCGGACTGATGGTGATTAACCCTTCGCGGTATTGTGCGAAACAAAAGGCGAACAACGGGAGAAAACACAAGAAGCATGCGATAATGAAAGCACTTCATATAGCGCTGCGAGACGTATATGCGCTATGCGTTGTCAAGCCGAAAGATTGATTTTAAAAAAAGTCATGCAATTAAGGATCTTTCTGAATAACGGAACTAATTGTCCGTGAGCGCGGAGGTGTTTACGGGATTTCATTGTTCGACGATCACGTCGCCGATAAAAACACGAATCAAACGTTATGACTCATCCGTCATTCAATTCACATGTTTCACGTGTGTGTGCGAGTGTGCCAGGATACAGTGAGTCTGCACGATTTTGTGCCACTCTTTATGAAGGAAATTTTCGATAAAAGCACCAGTATATTTCAAGCTTCCTTCTAAATCTAACATTATTTAGAAATATAAAATATCATACACGAAAAAATTAGAGAGTCAAGAAATTAATAAATAATAAATATAATGACCATAATTATACCTGCATGCGTTTGTTAATTAAAAATAAATCGCTTTGAACGTAATTTTTTCAAATTAGAGAAAGAAATGCCATACTTTATTGATATAGATTATAATTCAACTACTTATTTTAATTTATTTACGATATTTTTTCAAATAAACTGTTATTTTATAATTAATGTGCACTATGGGATTATTGCCCCCTCTCTAGACATGCAATTGAAAACGTTAGGAAGGACCTCGTTGTCGGAGATTAAAGCCCCGGCTTCGTCGCGGAAGAAACCGTTTCTGAAAACAACCGGAAACGTCGAATCAAGCGTGCCCCTCGAGCGCGGGTGGCATGAGTTAGGTTTTTTACTGATTTCATACCCGGGCCCTGCGTGCGTTGCGGTGCAAGAAACCGTGAATGGAACATGTTTACAGTTAAGATATGTCAGCGGCGTGATATCCGCCCGCCACATACGACCGGCAAAAAAGTATATTACGGAGATGAAATGCCGTATTATAGAACGGCTGTAAAGAAAAAAGGATGCGGTCGTGAGCGCCTCTTAAATTCGAGAGGCGCGAGAGCACAGTCTTTTTCTATCTGATTAGTAAACCCTTCCTTGTCCCCCGATAATAAATCTTTCTCTTTCCCTTTTTTAGAGAATTTCTTTTTTAGAAAGTATTTGTATATGTTTACAAGTACTTTAAATGCCATTAATGTGAATATATTAATCGTTAATATCTTTAATAAGAGATCATCTTAATAATCTCTATCTATAATCTGTAATAATAATTGTCTTTAATAAGAGAAATCTAAAATACTTTTTTTAGTTTTATATTTAATTAGAATTTTAATACATGCTTATATTTATGAGATATATGAATGTAAAATATGATAAAAGGTCTCCAATCATAGTTGTAATATTTACAATTCCATTTGTCCCATACTTTTGCATAATTATTATATAAAAAATTACATATCTGAAAGAAGTGTAACGGTACGCCAAGAGATGAAATTACCTCGAGAAAGAAATACCAAAGAAATTTATCGCTATGTTATCGTTACGTGCAATGTATCAGGATAAGTGATGGGAATTAGATAAACACGCGACTCTACCATGTAACAGTTTGACTACAATCTCTTAGGCGACAAGGCGATCGTTAAGGCCTCGTATTCTTCGTGTTACAGCGGAATCGGATATCTGTACTTTCGCGGCGAGGACGGAGCATTTTCACGTCACGAATAAACCATCGACGAGACTGTTCACGACGGACACGAGGCCGAAGGCCCTGAGGGAGTTGTACGAGCTCGCTGCTATAGTTGCCGTACGAAGTTTAGATTCCTTGAGGAGGGATGGCAGCTCGATGGATATGTTCCTTTGCACGCCGGTCCTCGGTAAGAGGAGACGGGACCAAAGCCTCGACATCGAGTCTAGAGTCGTAAGTACATTCCTCTCTCTTTCTCTATGAAAATGTCAGGACATATTCTCATCCGCGATTGGTATTTTTCTCCGCGCGCGTTCCAAGTTAGTTTCAGATCAATCAATGTCAAATATTCTTTAATTCTATACTGTTATCAACATCCTTTAGGCCCGATTGTTCCAACCTGTTGGTAAGCTAACTAATAGTTAAATCATATATATGTCTTTGTTTATCCTTTACATTAAACAAAGATAGACATATAATTTAACTATTAGTTAGCTTACCAACAGGTTGGAACAACCGGCCCTTAATATAGCAGTCAATTTTTCAAGATTCCGAGATTATATATTGTAAAAAATTCTTTATATTGATTCTAATATATTTTGAAATAATGAATTTATAGGCATACACCAACAAATTAAGAGGTTTTTGAATTCATGGAATACATGCACGAATTAAGCAACAGATTGAATAGATACATTTTTTATTGTTTTTCAAATTTAATGTTCGCACCTAAGAAGTTCATCAGAAATTCACATATTTCGTTAGAATCTATAATAACTTTACCACGCGCGATTATCTGATCATTTGTGGCGCATAGCGAAATCTTTTTGCCGAATGAGAAAATTGCACAGGCAGCGCATTCATACGAGCACATATATTTTCTCAATGCGTTATGCAACTCAGTTCATCGCCGCAGTTACACTGTTCGCATTGACTTCGCGAAACACGGAAGAAACAACTGAGTGTATTGAGTTCAGGCATTGGTCGGTATCGGATGACCGAACATAAGAGATTATGGTGCATGACTCAATAATCCTCAACGTGAGATTAACTTACAAATGCCAAGCAGAATCAAATCTGACCTCTTTGCCTACTTAATTCAACGTAATTAACTTTCACGGTATAATTGAAGAGTTCATAGGATCGAACCCCGTTTCTTCGAAACAGTACCGGTAATTTCGCCGAGCAGCGTTTCCTCTTCCCTCGACGTCAAATGTGTCGACGATTAACTTGCATTTTTCTCTGCACTTGAATCGACGTTAAACCGGTTTATATCAAACGGAGATTGTCACTCACGACACACAATTACAATATGACAGTAATACTGTACTTGACAAGCAGAGGAATGTCAATTCCATAGATTATCTTCCGTTAAAGATTCAGGACCAAGGATGACTTTCAAGATAAATTGATCGAATGTGAACACACATATATACCTACATGTACGCATTCTATATGACTTGGCTTTATGTGAAACAATATTAAATTTTGATACTTATTTTAACAGTATTAAAAAATACAAATTAATTTAATGTATCAATTTAAAATATTGTAAATTAATTCTGTACACTTCAATCTAATCATATTTAGGAGTTTTTGTAATACATAAAATTGATTGAAGTAATTAGAATGAATGAATATTTTTAAAATCGCTTTTTTCTGGCTTCCTATTGTTTCTCGAGTATGCAAAATTAAAACTTGCACAATGGTCCGACCGTTTACACGGATTAGTCGCGAACAACGGCTAGTGCGTCGTGTGGAAAAGTTGGCAGACGGTCGGAACCCAATCCGTTCCGTATCCCGTGCGTGAAACTCGCACTGGTCGGCGAGGTGACACCCCGACAACAGTTAACACCCACGCAGGTGCCGCAGCGCGTAAAGCACGTCATTCGTTCCTCTTCCTTCGCGGCGTCGAGTTTCCCGCAGGGTGAACGGAAGGCGACCCCCTTGTTGCGGGGGTCCCGGGTCCCGCGGAAGATAGAAACGAGTCATTTGTTATGTGCTCTGGGACCAGGTCGCGTAACAACACCATGCAAACACGTACATACAAAATAGCACAATTCTTTCACACGGCACATCGCTTCCTCAAGTATTCGCTATATTTACTTGGCTACCCAAGAAGCAATTTCTCGATTTTGTAACAGCAGATTAATTCACAAGAATTTTGTCATAAAAATCAATAAGAAAAACGATAATAAAAAAGATACCTACTCCACTACATAATGCCAATAGTTATCGAATATATTTTATAATTATACCTTTTTAGATATATTATATATTGAATATAAATATACAAAGTTTAATAATCTGATATATATTATCTGCCCATGTTCAAAGAGACAAAAGTGGCGATAAATATGGATAATTACGTAAAGCATACGAAAAGAAATATTGTATAGATAGGCGGCTTTACTGTGCGTGTATTTATTATTCTGTTTGATTATTCTATTGCAGCCGGCTGCTATCGAAGATCTTCGAAGATGGACATCTACCGAAGCGCTCGGCGACGTCACCGTACCGCCGGACTGCTCGTCCAGGATCTTGGGCGACACGACCGGCGACGATGCCGTCGATCACAAGCTACCCAGCCCCGAGGAACAGGTTCAGGCTATCGCGCTCAAGTAAGCGGTTTATCTCAATACGTCGCTTGATTGCCGATAGAACGGGAATTGTAGAAACCGCCACACGAAATAGAGAGACAGGAAAATCTTTTCATCATTGAGGATATGATTTATGATCGATAATCTTGATAAAATATCAAAAACTTATTTTTGGTCAAATTTTCGACATATTTTTTCACTGTCATTAGATTTTAGATTCTTATTTATATAAGGATATATAATAGATTCTTTATTTTAGGAAAGATTAAATATTTAATTATTAAGATTAAATATTTTAGAAAATTTGATATAATGCATTTTTAACTGTATTTTAAAAAATGATCGTGTGTTTCAATATCTAATTAATGCAAATGTTATTGATTTAACATTAGAGAAAGAAAACAGATCGGCAAAGATTACCAAAGGAGATTGAAAATCGTTAATTTATAGAGCAATTTATGAGAAGTTTCCCGCCAAATTAATGCAATCTTACATGGTTTATATATAAACTAATACATATAAGCGTGTACAAGTCAAAAGTCTGTCACACGGTTTCCTGTTACGCGACTTGATATGCTCTTCCTCCGGGTCCATTCAGTTTTGTATCAATGGCAGACCGACAAGCTCTCTATTGTGATCCCGAAATGTACGCTTTCATCGTAGATTCCCGGCGGAAATCGTAGCGGTGGATGTGAGCGGACGAGGTTTCGAAAGAATGTCGATGAGGAGGAGGTCCTTGCTGTCAGGGCCAGAAACTCAGGAAACGACGGTGAAGAGGAGATCGCGGCCACGCAGGCCGAGAGGGAAGAGACGAAATACGATCGCCGGTACCGATCAGAAGGAGATTCGACAAGCTATCGGAGGGTTAGTGTTGCCATAGTTAACCCTTTAATTCCAAACTGAAGAATTTTCTCAGAACTTCTCTCCCCTACTTTACTCATTACTCTTTTAGTTACTACAATTTCGGATTGTGTGAGCAAACGGTTTTCCGTTATTTTTTATATTTTGTATTCCAAATTAATGTAATTAAAATTCTGCTTTATGAAGTGCTATTATACATACTATTTAAGGTGATCCTAAAGCCGTGATCCTAGCCGGTTTTTTTCGTTTTTTTTCTTAGCACTAATCTTTTAATTGGCTTTATAGAAATGCAAAATTCTTGTCTAGAATTAAAGTACGCATCAAAATCTAGGTCATGGTGGTCGAATTTATATGTGGTGGTCGTCGCGTATAACAAAAAATATTAATTTTTTTTTGTTTTTGATATAAATTCGACCTCCATGACCTAGATTTTGATACGTACTTTAATTCTAGACAAGAATTTTGCATTTCTATAAAGCCAATTAAAAGATTAGTGCTAAGGAAAAAACAGAAAAAAACCGGCTAGGATCACGGCTTTAGGATCACCTTAAACTCCGGAATTAAAATGATATTGTCGGTTTTTCATTGTTTCACATTTCGCGAAAGTAACTGTTTCAAAAGATTGTTCGATTTACAATCCGTATATAATAAAGATAAATTTTCATCGTCGTTTAAAAAAGGATTACCAGGAAACGCTATCATTGATGGGATTAATGGACCATTCGCTGAACGCTCGACTCCTTCAACTTTTACGGCATGATAAATATACTCGTATAACCAAGGAGTATACATTTTGCTCGGATACATCGCAGCGGTTCTGTTACTATAAGGACGCGCGGATCCAGAGATCTGTACCTCGAAAATAGTCGGCGATTTGTCACGCTCGATAAAGTGCGCTCATATTTTCGCAGTCGTCCAAGCACGAAGAATCTTCCTTACTCTACCTTTATACTATACTCCCATTGCCGTGATAATAGTTTCAGATCATCTGGGTATCGTTGTCGTGCGATATCGCACGCGAAACCTCCCACAGGCTCTAACAATCTAACTTACGTATCAATTGAAATATACGCGAATAATAAATCTGTAACAAAATCGTCATCGTGTATCACGGTTTATCCGTGATTAATCGTAGCATGCTTGCGCGTGAATCTGTCGTTTCTTATAAAGCGCGATGGAAGCTCGCACTCACTACAGTATTTCGCCTCATATTCACGTCGTTGAGATTATTTATCGCTGTAGGGAGACGACTGGCGAGGAGCCCGAGGAGACGCTGCCAAGCGCCACGCCGAGAGCGCATCGCTCGGCGAGCACGGACGTCTTGGGGTCCACGAAGAAGGACTCGCCCACGGAAAAGAAGTCGCACTTCAACACGCTGAAGGCGTGGGGCATGTCCAGACTGAAACTGATCAGTCCGAAATCGAATCAGCAGCAACCGCAACAGGAATCGACGATGGTCAGCGCGGAGAGGACCGAGCAGACACAGGGTCAAACGAGATCGCCGGAGGAGATAAATATTTACGAGACGGTGACTACGAGACGCAGAAGGGACAAGTCGCACGAGAGGAAGCCCAGCTCGTCCAGCTCGAGCGGCAAGAGCACGGCCAGCATACCGGTGTCGGTACCGAGCACGGACAACAAACAGCCGAGCGTGAAATTACGCGAAAGCGCCGCCCAGAGGCGAGAACGACGGAAGGGCAGCAACCGCGACGACGCACCGCACTCGAGCTCCGGAAACTGGAGCGCTTCATCCGAGAGCGGAAGAGCCAGCATCGGCAGCGAGACTACCACCACCACGCATCAGCCCAGGTAAGAAGAAGAAATCGAATAGAGATTATCTCAATGTCCCATGATATTTACGGAAGTCTTATATATTTTCTTAGTTCTACAGGCAATTGAATATTTTCCAACGCGATCATTAATTAACTAAAAATTACAGCAGACCTTTAAGATGGATCCTAGATATTTGAGTGTACCTAGCAGAACGATTTATATATTCTGTTATGAAAATTAGTTACGGAAGTTATTTAAACTTTGTACGAAATTCAATTAAATTTCGATTATTCCAGCGAATTGAGATTTGCCTTAATCTTCTGAATCAGAGATCGCGAAGAAATTGTTTTAGACTGGAGGAAAAATTTACATGCGTTTAATATACTCGAATATATTATCTCAGATCCACGACGACAGCTTCGATCGGCACGTCCTCCACTTCCTTAAGTCACATGAGGCGATTGAAGGGAAGGGACACCTCAGCTTCATCCTCGGTAACGTCCGAAGGTACTTTAACACCGGATATCATACAGGATATCACGGTGGTACCCTTTTCCGACGATGGCGAAACGTCGTCGGTGTACTCTTGTGACACGGAAGGATATTACACTTCATTTCACATGGACTCAGGCTTGAAAACTCTTAGAGAGGAGGAACTCATGCCGCAGAGTCCTTTGACGAAGACTAACGACGTTGGCTCGGATCCTACCTCGCCGATTGTCGAGAACGAATACGAACTATTTGGCAGAGGATCAACTTCCACAACGACCAGCTCGGCCGGAACGGTTTGCACCGCACTTATGGCACCACCGCCTCCCGAGCGCAAGTCCAGCCTCACAGTTGTTGCTATGGTGAGTTCAAGGGTCAATACTTTTAGCTGCGATAAAAGATAGGCGAGATAGCGAAATAAAATTAAATTGAGTATTAATTTATTAAGAGAGATTTTAAAAACCTTATAAAAATGGAATAAAGTTGAATAGAGATAAGATTAATTAATATTGAATTTTCGATAAAAAATGAAATTTATATAAATTATATATTAATATTTAATAATATAACACCAGCATCTCGTGCATATAGACAAATACCGGATTTTTATTAATTTTTATTCTTTCTTCTACTGTAAAATCTGTGAGTTAGTTAAGATTATGTTTTTGATTAAATTAATATAAAAAAGCTAACATCAATTTTTCTATTAAAATATTTACAATAATAAAAATTAACTTTTTATATTTCATAAAATTCTTAAATGTTCTTGTAATAAACTTCGTATAATATTTGTAGGAAGTAATTGTATAAGCGCCTATCCTGTCGTCTCTATTTTCAATATATTCAATTTTGTCAACAGGTTCATGGTCAAAATCAAAACGGCGGCGAATCGCCTGACAGTGGTCACAACACATCCTCGTCTCCCGTTGAATCTGCTTCGAGTCCAGCTTGCACCGGACGTTCCTGTTCCGAATTTGAGTATTCAGAGTCCAGCGATCTGGAGGGCTGCGAGCGAATCGAGAGGATTCGCTCGAAAACGGCAATCACGACTAGTCGGATTCCGTCGATGTGCGTGATCACGCCACCCGTATCCGATGACGAGCACGCGAAAGAGACGGACCAGAACGAGAAGAAGACGAACGAGCCGACGAGGAGGACTGAACTTCAAGGTGGCGGTTCGATATTAATGTCTGCCACCGTCGGCACGTCCAAGATGGAAGTGATCAATGGCCAGGACAAGAATCTCTATGCCACCGTACAAGTATTGCCGGCGGCCGCCAATAACGACAGACCGACGACGACAGGCCAGTCGTCGTCGTCGATCAAAATCAGTCCACTGAGCGGAGTTCTGGGCAAGCTTCGTGGCGTACTTCCGGGTAAGAAGCACGCCACGAAGAACGGAGCCGTGCAGGAGCTGTCGAATGCAGACTCCGGCGACTATGTGACCATAGCCGACGTGAGGAACAACAACGACAAACGCCCCGCGGGCCCGCTTTCATCGTCATCATCAACGTCGTCGTCGTCATCAGGCATGACTGCCGTCCGACCGACTACCACCTACGCCAATTCCGATATCTTCAAGAAAGACGCGGAATACGTCAGTTTGAGCGAGTTGCCGAAGAAACCGGATTCGTCGTTGGAAAGGAAGAGACAGGGTGCCCGAGTCACTCTAGATTCCGAGGGTAAAGTCGTCTACTCGTCCGATAGTCTGAAGAGAAGAAAGGGAGCGCACACGACATTTAATCCAGGTATTTCAATTATTATTTCAATTATTCAACATTGCTCTTCCTATCAAAATAAGAATTTTTTCCGGTAAAATTTTAACTTAGCTTAAGCCTGCAATTTTTATTACATTATATTAAATTACTAATAGCATTTTTTGTTTCCAACATAAATTTCGACCGCTTAAAAAAGATCCTAATAAAACTAACTAATCGATAAAATTAATTATCAGACAATCTTTAACTGATTATTGAAACATCAAGTTCGGATTTTCACGCAACACATCTATGTCCAGGTCCCTTCGTCAGGGAAGGAGTGTCACCGAGTCCGTCGCCGTTGCTTCATCGCGCGATACCGAACATCCGCGCCGTTACGAAGAACGTCGACGCTGTGGACGCTGCGAACATCAGGACCACACCGCCGACGTCACCTCAGTTGGGCAAGCTAATCATTCGAGCGGCGCGAAGTCCCGATCGCGCGACCAGTCCGGATTACGTGCGCACGCCGACGACCGTGGTCGGTCCCACGAGCCCGACCAGTCCCCACAGACAGGTCTTACGCGGGGCTTACGTCAACGTGCAAGGCGACGAAGGTAAGACGTCCAGCACTGACGAGCACCGCGATTGCCGCACTGGTAGATTAGAGGCATCACGCACTGCGACCGCTACGTCACGCTCTATGGACGAGTCTAGGCAGTCCCTCGGCAGTCCGACTCTCGCTTTGGCACCGTGCAACAAACTCCCGGAGCCGGACAGATCCGTAGATAAAGCCAAGCTCTGTTACGGGGGCTCGCAGATAGACAGACAGACAAAGCGTAAACTTGATCGCGACGAGAACCGTCCGCCGGAGCTCAACGGCGACGCTGTCGAGACAAACGTTCGCGCGATCGCTCCGTCCAAAGTCAATCACTCTGTCGATCTTAATCCCGCGAACTCGCGACTAGACTTTGAGAAATCGGGTCTCTATCCGAAGATCTTGAGAGCAACCGGTAACACGCCCAAATTAGGTAGGAAATTATTGGTCTCGGATCTCGATACTCCGAGCTTCTGTAGGAAAAAATCTAATTCCGATAGTCAAAATGTGAATATGGCGCTCAATGATGACACTGTCGATAAGAGCACGACTGTCGATTGTACAGAATTAGATAATCAGGCCGCTAAAAACTCCGATTCATCGCGCGGCGACAGAACAGATCGTAAGGTGAAACGTAGCGAGAGTTATCGTATGGCGAACAGTCCGATCATGTTCATCAAGAAATTATCCGCGAGCAATCAAGCAGAGAAGTCGTCCAAGATTTGCAGGACGCCCTCCGAGGAGCTACAGGAGGAGTTGCTGAAGGAGAGGATCAACTATCCCGAGACGGTCTCTAGTCCGGAGCCACGGGTCGGTAATAACATGACCTTCGACAATAATGTAACGGTACCTGTTCAATCGATACCAACTAGTCCTAGACCGAGGGCTTCGGACCTAGAACCGGCTAGGGTGCTCAAATATTCTAGTAACGATACAGAAATCTGGTAATCGCGTCAGCGATACAGTTCAGCAACTTTTGCAATACCGATATGAAGTTAAAACGAGATCAAAAATTTAATTATTTAAAGTTTCTACTCTTTATCGAAGTCTTATCGGTTCTATAAAAACTTCAAATCTAAGCGCGAGTACTAATTAAAGTACTTCCGCTAAGTATTCTACTAACGACGTAAAAATCTAGTAGAGACTAGAGAACATTGCATTAGTGTGCAATACTAGTTTTGCAATACTGATATGAAGCGGGAATGATAATGCATGCGACTACTGCAAGCTCTGATATGAGTTGAGTCGCGCTTAAGAAAAACAAACGGATGTGGATTTAATGGAGAATAATTATCACACACTTGGAGAATATGATAATACGTGATAACATGTCTTATGGCTAAAAGCACCGAGTACATCTGTACTAGGACTCTCTTTCGAGTCTGCTTCTTCAGAATAATTCTAACTTTCTATTAGTAACTGATAGTAGCTCAATGAGTAATTTACATAGACACAAATAAATATAAAATTATCTTGAGAATTCATTTACACAATTAAATCTCACTTCTATAATTTTATTTCATAAAGAAAGTTGAAGTTAAAAAAGTTATAGTAGAATATAATTACTTTTTATACAATAAAAGAGAGTTTCACTATTTGGAAAATTAATATTTTTATTTTTAAAGAGAAAAAATTTCATACTCTTTGATATTTTTATTTAATTTTAATATTTGTGAAATAAAATCTCCAAAAAGAATACTTTGAAGAAGAAATTAACTGCGTTAAAATAGAATACTGTTTAGTAAGAGTAGAATATAAAATATCGCGAGCTTTTGTACAGCAAGCATCACGATATCTCGAAAATCGGCGTTTTTGCTGCCAAAGGTTCGGCGCGATAACTCCGCAGAGAATGATTTCGATGCGTTGAGACTTTGATACCTCGTGTTAAATCATGGTAAGATCATCGCGTAAAATAGATCGGAGGATGAGCGGGAATCATCAAGGTCTAGTCAGATATAACTGGAGCGAGAAGTCGCGGGGGAGATATCGGTGCAGCGGATAGCGGCGCATTATGCAAAAGACGGATCGAGGTAATGTCACTCTCACGAATTGACGAGGGCGAGGACCAACAAACAAACCGTTCGACGATGATCACGACAGCGAGATCGGCCAATTTTTTCGCACGCGAACAAAGATACAGAAAGAGAAACACGCATACCGGTCACGTTTTTCCTTATCTGACACTCGTGTCCGATGTTTCCAGCTGCGAGTCGGCCGACGATCCCCGCGGTGCGTTTAATACTTACGAGGAGATAAATCTCGAGTTTTATCGTTAAATGACAGTCCGTGTGTGTGTGGAATATTTCATAGAGTTAATTAATTTTATCAATAAAAACAAAATGCATTTGGAAAAAATTAATAGGACCAGCAGGGACTAATTTTTGCACTTTTTGTTAATGAATTGTGTCCCCCTCAAGTGATTTTATTTCTTATATTAATTCTTCTCGATATATATGAAAACATATAGAATTCTGAAATTTTATTAGTTTCTTCCAAGCTTTCTTGTTTAGACTTGTCGCGCATAAAATTGAATCATTTTGTTTAAAATAACGCAATAGTATTTTTTTCAATTGGAGCATTATATATTAAAGCGAATTATATCGGAATGGAACCAACGAATTAAACTTTCGGTCGTATTACATTTATTTGACTCCGATTTAAATAAAACGGCATTAAATCGTCAAACGTTTAAAACTTAATTTTTTCCTCGACCGGGAAAAAACAGGAAATTATCGCGTCGGGGTGGCGAGAGTAGGCAATCTTCCGCTTTAGCAATCCGCTGGAAAACTCCCACGAAGCTCTCTGTCAGTTAAAGACTCACTTTGTTAACCCTTATCAGCGTTATTAGCCGCTGGCTCAATAAGCAACGCGAATTGCATCAGACGCGATGTTTATCCCGGCACGATAATGGCCGGGGTGTCGATAAACAAAAATCCCCACCGCGAGGATTGAAATACTTTCGTGCGCGTCCCGGCGCCTTCAGTACGCTCCGATCCGGTCGAATAGATCGCGAGATCGTTCGCCCTCCGTCCGCGAAGTTCTCTTTCCCTTCAATCCGCTCAGAAATCGCGACTTTAGAAACAAAAAATGCAGTGCCGCAGGAAATCGGCTTGCATTTTTGCAAGAGGGCGAAGCCGCGTGTCTTTGAATAATCGTCGCGTCTAATCACGATCCGATCACGTTCTCTCAAGATCGCCAGTTCCGTGACATATAATCATCTTTTATGATTATTGTTATTCCTAAAGGCTCGATTTATCGATCTGCGAGTTCAAGAAAATCACTTTCGGGCGAAGGCCAATTTTTTTTCCGTTTTCGAAAGATCCTCGAAAGTCTCTCACATGCCAGTCGGATGACTCGCCGCAGAATGAAATCGAGTTTTTAGCGGGGCGCGATGATAAGACGTTATCGATACAAAAACGGAGAGGAAATCTTGTCGCTAGACAGACAGTCGCCGGGGCAATACCGCTGATAGACGGAGCACACAGCGCGGTCGTCGTAAGTCGATTCACGATTCCCGGCTCGATCAGTTGCCCGGCTCCCGGCTCGCCGCGGCAACGCTTCAACATGCTGGCGAGACATCTCCTCTTCATCGCGACCAGGCGGCCTCGTAAGTTGATTATCATAAAAATCATCGTCGCATCGCTTCACAGTCATTGAGCTTATACAGTCCCGTCTGCATTACAAGTTGCATCCTTGCAAGTGTGCGGGGGTTAACGTAAACTCCAAGCTGTCATTTACTGTCATTAGCTTTTTTTAAGTTTTTTTTCATATTTATGATTATGTGAGTATAATATATCAATTTATCGCTTTGTTAAAACAATATATTGTTTTAATATATTATTTTAACAAACTCGAATAACGTGTGAAAAGTTTATATTTATTAACAGATGTATTAACAGATGTAAAAAGACTCGGGAATCTATTCAATTTTACATTATTACTATGGCATAATGATTGAAAAGATGTTATTATAAATAACGAGAAGAAAAAAGTGAGAGTTTACGAATATATTCGTTACACACTACATTCTTATCAACTGTGTCAATTTAATTATGCTCTGTGCTGCACATCTTTTTTGTCCACTTTGGACCTGAATTTTTACTTGGCGATTATTTCAATTGCTCACGATTAGGAGAAAGGAAGTGTTATCGTGTATACATGTGTCGTCTGCTCCGGACTTGATTATTTTCTTTTATTTCGTTTATTCGAGCCAAAATATTTTGTATCAGTACATGTAATGTGATACTCAAGGAAAGGTTACTTATATCCATTACGTAAACCGTAAACTGATAATTTTATGGAAATTTACAGAAAATTTATTTTCGAGACACAAATCTTTCTTTCATACGAATTTTATTTTTAAACATCACCAGAAAATTTCTCTGATTACGCTTGGAATATATTTCGTAAAATAACATTCTTTAAAATCCTTCAAGCATTAATCCTCCAATCATTAATTTTTGGACATTTTCATACCTATCGACGAATAAATTTTATTGTATTATCCATTACTTTTCCAATTTATTCTATCTTCTTTTATGTAAAAAAGAAATTAAGATATTTTATAGCGATAAATCACATGTTTTCTCCTTTCTTCTTTATGCTATCGATGCATCTTTAATCCCCATTAACTATTCCGCGAAGTACAAATGAGCAAATGGGACGTTAATTTGTCTGTCAAGTCCATGACTGTATCAGTGACATCACTCGAGAACATTAAGTGCCGGCATCACGTGAGTGACCGCGCGTTCGTTATCGGCATTGCAAAACTGGCGTACGATTATAAAGAAGTTTTAGACGGACGGAGAAAGAGAAAGAAAGAAAGAAAGAAAGAGAGAGAGAGAGAAAATCAGTGGAAAGTACAGCAAATACGAAAAAACGAGCACGAAAGAAAGAAAGAAAGAGAGATGAAAAGGTCGATCCTCTCCTCCAGTGTCTTGCACTTCGTAACAACCCATCTTGACAAACAGATGCACAACGTAAATCGTGCGCGCTTATCTCGAAAGCGGACTTTTATCAGCGCGCGTAACCATGCACCGGCTCGATCTCCCGTGAAGTGTAAACAATAATATTAGCATTGATCGACAATAACGCACAGATACATATACACGCGTGGGGCGAGTAAAAAAAATAGTATGATAATCGAAGTCTTGGACGACCTGTGATGTCTCGATGGAGACTTTGGAGCGAGCGATACCGTTGCGTAAAATCGCGGCCGAAATTCGATAACGGTAGTTAAATCGCAGATAATTCGTTTCGGTTTCAAAACAATTAACGTAAGAGCGATAGAGAAAGAGAGATGCGGACGGGACACGTGTAAGGGTCACTATTTCCAACGTCTGTTAATCTCTAACCGACGGTTAACTTTTCAGAAAACCGAATAAAAATTAGCTATTTTAGAAATTAACCGTCGTGAATCACTGTTTCCAATGTTTGTTAACCTCTAACTGACGATTACTTTTCAAAATAGCCAATTTCTATTCGCTTTTCTGAAAAATTATCCGTCGGTTAGATATTAACAGACGTTGAAAATAATGACCCTAAATCTCGTCGTCGAATTTAACTACATCGCGGGATGCAGATAACTTTTTTATCTCCTCGCTGATTTACTACTATTTTCAGACACACATGACAGGCAATACAGACGCTCAAGTGTGAGACGTAGTAAAAACAGATCCGTCCAATTTAGGTGTGCAAAGAAATCGCGTCGATGCGATTACAATAGATGTAAATCGTTGCGAAAATCAGTTGTAAGCGGCCTGTAATCGCGGTTCTCACGTAATTTATTATGTTAAGAATAAACGTAATTAGAGATATGCAAAATATTACGTTCAAATATATAATTTATGTAATTAGCTGTTTACGCCGAAAGTATTGTGTTAATCCACTTGTATAATCGCACACGTATGGCCAGTGACAAAGACGTACATGATTTACTTTACTGTCGATCTTTGAATTTTGCATGAGACGAGCACTAAGTCATCTTATGAACAACGTGTTTTTATATATAGCCAGTTTAAACATCGATCTATCATATATGTTTATAATTATATATTTATTACCAGCATACTCTCGTGAGTAATTATGCCAAATTGTGTTTGCTACCAGTATCCATATTTCGTTAAATGTTACTACGTATCTTTATGCACGTAAGAATACATTGCTGCGTCGTTAGAAACAGTGACGATTTGTGATGATTTTCAGGGTGAAGTTAACGAGCCTTGTTATTGGTAACGAGCCACAATGATTTACGCAATTTCTGTGGCTGTTTCTTGCGACGCAGTATAAATATACGGTGGAAATAAAAATATATAAAAAGAACAGGAGAGGATTAGTCATAGCCTATAAAACTACTATCTGCTCACGATAAATGCGTAATTCGTCGCACAGCTCGCTCTTTATTTTGCATTTGTGAGCGATAAGTCGAGAATGAGGGTAGAAAATATAGTGATCCCGATGACGTACGAAAGTGATTTCTTTCGCGTTGATAACAATAAGAGAAAAACGTGTTTTTCATGCATTTTCACGCGTTTCAACATAGTAACGCAGTTATAATATCGTCAACTTCCCCTTGTATTTCACAACTTCGCGATTGATCGACGAGTAGCGCGCGTTACACGAAGTTAAGTTGTTGACCTCCATTTGCATACTGACGATATTAAAAATCCATGTCATTGTATTTAAGTTACCTTAACACTTTGCTGATTTATCTCGCCTATTATTGTATCGGAAATTTCCGTGAAATCTAAGAGAAACTTCCATTATATATATATTTGTTGTTGTTAATCTAAATTATATATAAATATTAAGTTTTGACTTGAGATGTAACTGATTTATGATAGTGACTTAGTAGTTTAACGACACAAAATTAACCGTCCTTCGGTCGGAAGAGTGTTCTTCACGTCCGATCTTTCATTGACTGATCATCGTTAAATATTCTACAAGTAATAAAACAGCTGTCATCTCCCATAATCGAGATAACGGCAGTTCGTATTCCGGCATGCTTGTGAAACCCTCGTAAATGTGCCTTAACTTGCCGTGTCGCATGTTTGCTCGAGATGCGTGCTCGCCTCTCGTTGTAAGTAGCGTCTATCACTAACAAGGACTAACTGTGGGTACATAGAAACCCTTAGCTGCAATCATGGGTCTCGATCAGGGTGACACCGTGTTTGCGTTTTCTTTTTTTTTTGCGCGCGCGATCGTAAAGTATTAAAAAAAATAGATATTTCTCTTTGTACAAATTTCGTAATTAAATATCATTAAATTTTTGTCCCAACGTTAAACATACCAAACCGAGGTAGAAAGTTAGTCTGATCTACTACGTCGGGATGTTGATCATACTGATATAATGCTGCAGCAATGTAGATAATTGCATACTAGAGAAAATCAAGCAAATTTCATAGAGGATTAACGTGTCTGAAACGATTACTCCTCCCTTCACCATGATATAACACTGCTCTCGTAATGGGAATATACCGCGTCTATAATCCACACGATAGTTATCACGTCGACTTCGCAGGCGTTTAGCTAGCGCGATAACATCACACGCTTATGCGACTTCGCGCCGCCTGCTTATGGGATAACGCGAGGTAATAGCACACCGGTTATAAAACGAGCCGCATATATGCGTTAATTGAAATCGCGGGAGGGAACGGGAGAGGTCCGAGTCCGCGCTTTGCGCCGCATTCCTCACGGTGTTACCCTGACACAGCAGTGTTGATTAATCAGCTTGCAACTAATATCGCGAGGACGTACTTACAACCTGGGCAGGGGAGCATGCACTATCAGCGTGTACTGTACATGTGTATATGTGTGTAGAGCGTTAAGAGATCCATACCCGCTGTAAGCAACGTTATTATTATAGACACGTATATATGTACATTTTTCTTTTTGTACTCCCGCGCAATGCGTTATCGCGACGCATCTTGCACCCTGTACATATACAAGTACAATATTACTATCGCCACAAGAAAACGATGTCATTTTAATGATTTAGGAATGTATGTAATAGACGTCATTCTTTTTGGAAAGCACTTGCATTTTGTCATTTTTTTTCTCTCTCTCTCTCTCTTTTCTGTCTATCGTCTCGTCTCACCCATGTACACATCATATGCACCTCTGATTGTAAATATTGCACCATCCTAAGTTCCCGCCTGTTTTTTTGTTTATTATTTTTCGTTTTATGTGTCTCCATATATGTGCCTACTGTATAGTTTTAGAAAAAAAATGCACCTCACGCGCGTGTGGCACCCCCGCACTAGTAACCCACAATATCATAGTTCCATGCTCCATACACCTGGTGAGTACGTTTTTTTTTTAACTTCCTAGGCGTACTGCGCGTAAGTTTGATGTGGAGAAAGACACGAATTTTTCTTTACGTATAATAACATTTTAACAATTCTTCTATATTTTTCTAAAATATATTAAGTTGTATCCGCATGTCTATTATTTAATATTAGACATTATAAATTGCATTAACATGTATTATTTGTTATTAACTATTAGATTTAATTTCATTGAATATATTCGAAATTTAATTAAATAATTTAAGTGGCTAAGTATAAAAATTAACATCAGACTCATGCGCTCATATTATGATTTTCTCACGTGTTGTTTATCGCATGCTTGTGTTTGTGATGCTTTTGCAACATGGTCGCTTTGCTTGGATTAATCACTCACAGTTTTGATAATAATCTTCATGTAAATACTTTTAATATATGTTCAAATATATATGTGTATGTTACTGTATTTATATAAAATAATAATCTCTTGTCAAAATTGTCTTCTTACGTAACTTCTAATCGCAAGATCTCAAGCAAAACAATTATAACAATTATAAATTATAATTATAAGAAATAATTATGCATATGATAAAATGTATCACAATTACAATATATAGGCATGATTTTTTTTAAATCTAACAAATCTTCAAGATTATTTTATGATCTTTTCGAGAAGATTAATCTATCTAAAGACTTTTAGGAGATAATAATTCTTATACTGTATTTTATCAAGTTAAAGGGAGAAAAATCGATCATAATCGATCTAAGAAAAACACTTGTGTCCTATCCTATCACTTGCTAGAAGTGTAAAGACATTTTCTGAACTGTTACAGACAATCCTATACTGACCATACCTCCGGAATCCATACCGCCGCAGGCGATTGTTCAACCGCCGCCCTACATAGCCCCACCGAAGCCCGAGGATCGACAAAAGTCGCACAAGTACCACGATATCCTAAAGGACACGCAGCCACCTAATCTGCGAGGATATCCCGAGAAGGAGAAGCAACTGATCGCGCAGGATCGAAAGCAGGACATCTATGACCCTCATCGAAATATTCAGCAATATGACAACTGCAAAAATATCCTCGAACAGCAGAGGATGTCGAACTATGAGTATCAGCAACGAGTTTGCAACTACCAAACGGTGCACATGCACAACGCGAGGAATCAGCAGCTCTGTTCGCCAGCCAGAGATATCAATCAACAGCAATTTTATACCCTGCCGACAAGAAGACCTCAACGAGAGATTGAACCGCCTCGTAGTGTCACGCCGGACATCACCAGAGGTCTGGGACACGGTTCTCTTAGCAGCATGCACATGCTGGCGAAACAGGGCCAACACAGGGTCACGGCTGTGGAGAACGAGCAGACTCGATACGTTTCCTACGTGGATGCGGGGAGCAGAAATTTGGAACAAGGGGAGATGAGAGGTAGATTCGTGCAGAGTCAACCTCAATCAGTCGTGGATGTTAGAAATAGGTGAGGATCGGAAGAAGAGTTAAAAGAGAGAGATAAAAGAATTCTTTTTATCATTTAATTGCGCTTCTAAATCAATTATAAATTTTTTAGCATATATAAATATATATCTACATATCGAGAGATTAAAGATTAATAATATTAATTTTATTATCAAGGCCCAAGGCATTGTCTAGAGCATTAGTTATCATAGCTATCTAGATTTTTATCTTTATTATGTAAAAGATTGACTGGAAGAAAGTATAAATCGTGAACCATCGAGTCTATTGCAACAACTGATACTAATTGCAACTGTTACTGCTATATATACCTTACTTTAAACATTTCATTGTCTTGTGCACAGATTCGCAACGCCCCTAAACCAAGCTGCACTCGGTTATCGATTCTTCGCATCTTCACCCGCCAACGATCCTCTTACGAAGTCTCCTCACGCGGATATTCTGAGGAATAATCCAATTTCGCCGATCGGCCACGGTGGCTACGGCAACGGCTTCAAATCGTCCACTCCCACCAGCCACTACGGACGATCGGTGCCAACCGTGGCGGAACGTCTAGCTCTGACCGCCGCCGCCGGCAATAATTGCTCGTCGCCGGTACCAACGAGCAGTTCCTCGGGCAGAAGCACTCCCATCCAGACCTCTTCCGGCAGAACGACGCCGACCAATCTGGTCCTGTCGCCCACCAAGAGCACCATGTCCAACGAGGAGCTATTCGCTGCGATTCACAAGTCTAAGAAGAAACTCAACCTCAAGCTCAATGAAATCGACAACGAGAACTTATCGCCGTACGGATCAATGAGCTCCTTGGTGAAAATACCGGCCGGCACCAGGCATAGCTGGAGCCCGGAATCTCAAAAAGCTTCTTCGGAGGTAATTGCCAGTACCGAAAATCATTAATTCGAAGAATCACATCTTCAATTCCTACCAAAGATTTCTTTTTCTCGTTAGTTTATTTAATATTGAAGATGAAGTATATGTTTATTTTAATACAAATTAATTTATCTGATTTTTCTAAAATCCTACAATTTAATTTATGTTCACCACAGTTTATTTCTCCCGTTAATTCACCCGATCCATTCCAGATACCGACTACGGTGCAATCGCCTACGTCACGAATGGATTTCAAACGTTTGCTCCTTCAACAGAGTGTAAAGGCCAATCCCATGCGGCTATCGGCGGCGGAACAGCTGAAACTGTCGCGCCAGCAGTGTCAACAACAGCAACAGCAATCGTCGCCGAACGCTCACCAGAGTCCCTTGGCCAAAGTCCTGAGTCCACGCTCAGTCTGGAGGTTTCAGACCCCGAGAACCGACGTCCTTTCGTCCACCATAATCGAGGACACCGCAGCGGAGGAGAAAGCGATGAAGCCCTCGCCGGAGAACACGTCTCCCATTTCAAGACTGAATTCTAGACGGCAGCTGGATCTCTGCATCGATCTACCGAGTCACTTGCGTGTCACCGACAAGGACAAAGCCGCAAACTTCAACAACGATAGACTAACGGCGAAAAAGACGTCTATGGACGAGCTCGATCTCGATACCGCGATCAAATCGTTAAGTCAAAATAACCATATCCACGAATCAATCACAAGCACGTCTGACGATCCTACACGAATCGCATCTCCTGCGAAAACCACGATAACCGGCCAGGATACTTCGTCCTTGGTGCCTCGAAACGATATCGCTAGCACGGCGATACGGTATTCGAAGGGTACGCTCGAATCTACGAGTCAGGACCCCGTGAGTGCTCTCGAGTCGAGGAGGATCAGCAACCAACTGGCGAGAGCCCAGTTCCTGGCCAGCACACCCACGAGCACCAATCCGTCGCAGAACCTCTACTTCAGCAAGAGATTCAGAGCGCGATCGGAATCCCCGCGACACGCGATAACGCAAAATGTTGCGCCGCGCAGTCCGAGTGCTCCTGCTCTCGAAACCGCTCTGTGATTCGCGAATATGTCGATAATGATGACAACGACCTTGCACAAGACTTAGCTCTTCATTACATTGTGACGTACAATGTGTACATTTGCTCTCCTTAGCAAGCTGAGATACCTTAATTAATAACAAAGTTTAGTATACCGGATTGTGATCATATATGTCCATATCATATATGGATTGAACATATATTGTGATCATAATATGTCCGTAAAAACCAAGCACTGTTCTGATTGGTGACAGTAACTTCATTTTTAATTTTTTTTATAAAATTTTTCTCGAAGGAAACTGACGCAATTGGAATTTTTTAATGACGATATCTTATCTAGTACATTAATGAAGAGTTAAGTAGCAAGGACATCTGATCCATTTGGAAATTTCGACGCGACGTATTTATTAACCGTAATCCATTTAAATCGAATCATTTGTCCTAATTACAACGGCTCTGTGCTAAGAGACAATAATTCGTGATATGGTAATAACGCGGAAATTAGTATTACCCAGTATTGCAAGGCTTCTTGCATAAACTAGAAAAAAAACATTCAGCGCGAAAACGTCGTAATTATTACGTCACGCTCTGGTCGAATGTTAAATTGATTTTACGGAACGTAACGTTACCCTACATAATTCAAATCGCTAAATCTCATATATGTAATTCAATCGAGTAATAAGCAATAAATAGGATATTCTCGACGCTAATAATCTCAATCGAGTGCCTATTTGATATAATCGTTTTATAAAGAAGCATTTTACGTATGTATAACACTATTCAGTCTCGAATTAAGACACAGTGATGTACTCGATATTTTCTCATTTTTTTAATGCTAAGCGAGCCTTTTTCTTCTCAACGAAGAAAACGATTTGATCTTCGCACGATCTCAATCCTCACCATCAGACATTCTTAAAACAGTAAGGATAAGATGAATACTATTTCGATATATTCTCATCTCAATTTATAAATACAGGAAATGCGGATGCATTGTATTCCTTGCAAAAGTAATGCACAAAGGTTTCGTTCGCGAGAAGCTCTATTCGCGATACGAAGAAACTATAGCGACGAAGCTCTTTCGTAGCTCCGACAAGAATTTTATCGTTACCTACATTAAAATCGAAATATTATGCAGTATTTTATAACCACTTGGGCTATACAATATTAATTTATTTACGGGAGTTGAGAGGAACATATTGGTAGCCAAGAGCCACGTGAAAATTAAGCACAATGGACTATAAATCGCTCGTCGTAGACGATAGAAGTTGAGTGCAGGATTATTATTAAAAATTCTCGAGATTGCCAGAGAACAAAATCCTTTAAACTTGATTAGAGAATAAGTTCTAGAATGCGCGATTTATCGTTCACCGTGCAAGGCACGTTATTGTGCATCGGCAGACTCGGTTTGCCGACGACGCCAAATTGGGAGTCTAATCGTTAAGGTATTAATTTATTTGTCGACTTCGACGACGGCAGCCCAACTCCCGCCTTAAGTTTCGCCTTCGGCGAAAGTTGTACATATATAATACGCGAGCAGCGTAAATCGCAAACCGATTTTAAGTCTCGATCGCTTGCTAGTCTAGTCGGGGTAGAATTTAGTACGTATATATATGTATCACGTTTTGGAGATTTTTCGAGCGGAAAAGTGCCGTTAATCGCGTGCGTATAATCTAATCACGTCGAATCGATTTTATACGATTATCGAATGGTGAATAGAGAGAATCTACAAATATATATATATATAAATATATACATTATATAACGTACGCGAGGAAGATAATGATATGTATAGCGTAATAAAACAAAGTTGCCTTAATTAAATTATTTCGAATTATACGAGCGATCCGGCGATCGGCGCGATTCATCGACTATTTACGATCGCGCAATGAACGGAAGTAATTTTGCACATGTAACATGTAACCCGCTAGATATTAAGCTGGAAACGTGTTTTGTACTTTGCTCAGAATAAATGAAAATATTTCGTGAACAGGTGAGTTTTCCTCGTTCCTGTGCATATGCTTTGCGCACATATAATTAATTTATCGCGACATCTTTAAGAACAGACGTGACGAAAGAACGTCCGCCTTTATAAAATAACATCGCTAAATAAGTGCTCGGCCGACGAATTTTATCTTAATTTATTATTGCTGAATAAGCGTAACAAATGTAATCTCACTCACCGAGCTGCACACAGTACCGAACCGCGCGTCTGCGTCTCGTGGCCGCCATTTCAAAGGGAGCTGCGCGAGATAGTCGGCCTCCTCCTGGAATGCATTTCATGTTGAGTTTTTAAATCTAGATAAATTAAAACATTTATCTTAATTTATAAATGTAATCTCCCTCACCGAACTGCGCACACCGAACCGCGTCCGCGTCTCGTGGCCGCCATTTCAAAGGGAGCTGCGCGAGAAGTCGGGGCCTCCTCCTGGGAATGCATATCATATTGAGTTTCTAAATCGAGATCAATCAAGACCAGACATTCTCGGTCAACCGAAAGATTATGCGCTTACCTGCACGCCTGACGTGTACGATACGCGAAAACATCGAGCGCGAATTGTCGTCGAGCGAATAAACGAAGCGAATGAACGGGAGCGATCCTTCGTTTCGGCGTCGGTTAACCGTCTGAAGTGCGCGGTTGTTGAACTAGCGACTCGGGATTCTCGGGAACAGGCGCGGCCTGTGATTGGTCAGATTTAAATCGTCGTACTTACCGCCTAGAAAAAGTCGCGAAAACCACTTAATACTCTGTGTCCCTCGCGAATTTTCTCGACGTAGAATCTTGAAATGTAAATCTTGCAAATCATGTGAGTTAAAAAAAATATCGATATTCTCTATAGACAGCAAATTCGCAATTAAAGAGTTGGTATTGTAACCGTAGCGAAATCGGGACCTTATAAGAACGCAAATAGCTAGCATAAATTAACAAAGTATACATTATTTTTAATAAAACAGTATTTAAACAAAATATAATTTTATATTAAATAAAGAAAAATTGGAGTGAGGAAAGGATATAAAGCGTCAAAAAATCACCGAATTAATAATGTAGGTACATTGATGCCTTGTACAATTGAGCGGGAAAGTATCATCTTGGGCCCATATTCTCAATTATCTTTTATCGATAAAAGCGCGATTTTATTTCTGAGATGCTATAGTTCACGTTACATAATACTATAACACTTCAAAAATAAAAGCGCGCTTTTATATCAATAAAAGAGAGTTGAGAATATGGGCCACAGTGTTCTGACGTTATCAGATTTAATTTTCAAGCTACAATTAATACAGAAGACAGGAATCATCTTCATCAGGTTTTATTTTCCTTTTATAATTCTAAGTAACGCTGCTTAATTGCGAGCTTGATGCTCGCAACTCTAATCGTATGAAGTACATAAAGAATTGTGCCGTTTTAATAAACAAAATTGTCGTATAAGTTCGATACTGTTTATTATCAAAGGCGCAGTAATAGTGTATAGCGAGAAAAAGATCAAGCTTCGAACATCATTAAATGAAAGTTTCTACCCAGATCTCGATTTTTTACAATATTCATTATACACAATCGTTTGAAAATTAAAAAATTTAAATAATGTATGTATTAGTATCTTTAAGAAAAAATATGTGTTGTAATATTTTCATATATGCTTTCATTATACATATTTTAATGTTTTAGAAATATATATACAGCTGCAAAAGAAGGTAATTTCATCCTTACGTACCGATGTATAAAATTTTCCTTCAGGCCAAAAAATATTTTAGTTACGCCCTTATACAAAAACGTACCACTTATTATGTGCTGTCTTAGGTATATCCAAAATTTCTAACTTCTCTCGTAACACAAAAAACACATTTTTTTTCTGAGACACATTAATATATTGCACAAAACGATGATAAAAAAATATGCTTTCGGGCCAAAAAAACTTTCTAACTATGCCCCTGCATCGAAACACACTATTTATCCTTCTTTTGGATATACTCTTTTAGTAAAATTCCTGACTATAACACACGAAACTAAATTCTGTCTCTGCTGCATTTCAATACACTGCTCAAAATAATAAAGAGATCACACTTTTGGGCATTTCTGCTTGAACTTGTCGAGAATAAAAAAGCTGTAAAACACCACAAAAATATTTACATATATTGACTAAAAAATTCAGTCAACGTAGTTAAATCATAATATAATTGACTATCAATTATATAAACATAAACTAAACTTTCAAAGTTCGCTACATCTACGCTTCTATGACATTCTAAGAAATGATTCTCTTCAATCATTTTGAGCAGAGTATTTAATGAGCAAACGTAACTATATTAGTACACTGCCAATAACGTCAGCGATATAATTCTACTTTTACAAAACATTCATGCATTTTTTCTTTCGTCTTCTTTTTTTAAATTACATGTACATAAATACTATGAAAACAACATATTTCAGATATTATTTTACATCGCGCTATGTAATTTTCTTCACTTGATCGAGTTCTGCGACCCGATCACGGGAAAGATTTGCGTGATTTTGCCAATCCCCTTAGTACGTCCCTCTCTGAAAAACAGACGCATCCCGACGTGGAGATACTCCGGATGACTGACAAACCTAAATAACACGGACGCGGTGTCGTTTGTCTGCAGCCCCCTGTCATTTGCATCCATTATTCCCTCAATGACGCAGGTTTGTCTCACGTTACCCACGTGCACTGTCGTTTGAAACCCGGGGAATATCGCGGTGGAGTGATACACTATCAATACAGTAGCCTGAAACACGGTATTTAAACTTCTAGCGTTTTTGTAGAAATCTAAACTGTATGACACAACTATCCTTTAAATATTCCAATTGACACAACAGAAAATTCAAACAAAATGTATATTTTAACCAATTTGAAAAGTATCAACAAAAAAAAAGTTTATTATGATGAACTCATAATAAGGGCGCTTCTTGAATCGATAAAAATAAGAATTTGTATTGTCGCCCATTAACAGCGGAAATATTAGGAATTATACTCGTTACATAAATCAAAGTTTATTCACACACCTGAAAGAAGAGTGTTGCATGCGGTCGATCTCGTAGAGAGACTAAGACCATCCCCGGACGAAGATGTGGCAAGGGAGGACTACGATTTGTCGGTGGTGCTAAAGTCAGACTGGCGCTCTGTGACGCTCTAACTAAACAGCACGGAGCTTTATTACGATGTAGACTAACTACTTTCACTGGACTAAATTCTCCGTCTGGCAAGGGTCCTACTAGTAACCGAGTTCCCGGTGCAATCGCGCCCTTAACAAGTAAACCTCCTAAAACTGGTTGTGTCAATCCCGCTACCCTATATAAAGTAAAATAAGAATCACATTTTGTCATATAATCTTTAGAAAAATATAAAACATCTGTGAAGGCCATTTTCTATGAAATATTAAAGATATAAAAGTTGTAGTTATATTTATAAAATATCAAAGATTCATAAAGTTAGCTTTATTGGTAAAACATTAAAATATATATATAATGACCGATTACCTAAACGTTTCGTCAATTTGAAATAGACAGGATTCCGGGTCCGAGTCGATCGAATTTGTCTCGTAAGGTGACAAATTTTTGATAAACATAGTTAACTCTTCCAGACCCTCGCCGGTAACGCAACTGACACTGAATACTGGTATCACGTTGGACGTGTAGTCCCATGACGGTATGTCATTATTGCTAAACAGTATTAATTGCTTAGGATAGCCCTGCGTCATCATAGCATTCTCGAGTTGAGCTAGAGTCTCGGACATGTCGCAAAATCCCAAATCGATTTTGTTCACGACAATGAAAAACGGAAGTTTTAACGCTAAACAGAGAGCCATGTGTTCCTGCGACGCTTCGTTCAGAGGCGGCGCTATCACTAGCATAACATGATGTGGCGAATATCCTGAGGAAATAATTATTTCCAAATAATTATATCTCTAAGAATCTCTTGTATAAATTACCAGAAATAATGATTGTTCACTGTAGAGTAGGTACTATGATAAAAGTTAGACATTTAAAAGTTATATACCTGTCAATCCAAGTACCGTCGTCCTCAAATACTTCCGATGTCCTGCTAAATCGATGAACGTAACGACTTTCGACGCGTGTTCGCATATCTCTTCGGCCGTCGCCATTTCGGCATAGTTCAAGACGTGACCCGCGCTATCAAATCCGATAATCTCGTGCGATATCGAGGATGTACGACCAGTCTTTATCTCGTGCAGGTGACGCAACATGTTGAGCCTCGCTCTACCTCTACCATTGTCCAACTCACCCTGCGTCAGTACCCCTACATACATAGTTTTTGCTTACAATCCTTGTAATCGTGTTCTCGCAGCATTCATACAAGGTAGATCGCGAATAGCAGAGCGTAGCGTAGACTGTCAGTGCCATTTCTCTACCTTAAATATCCTCTGCTAATCCTCTCACCTAAGAGAGTCGACTTTCCAGCATCCTGCGCACCGGTGACTGCCAGTCTCAGATCTACGATACTATCCTGATCCTCTCTGTCATCCTTTCGTAATTTTTTTACCAACACTTCAGCGACTTTCTTTTCCTCCTTATTATTATTATTTTGCGACGCCAAGGTCTTACTTGCAGAACTCGTGGCTATTCGTTCGCGTAATACTCTTATAGTAGCGCCCAGTCTGGAAGCCATGTCCTTCAGCGTCTTTAAGGACGCTTTCATTTCCTCCTTTGTTAAACCCGCCAGTCTTCCGTTGTCTTCCACTCCTATATATGCGATATATTGAGAGATAAGCAAAAAAAAGAAAGTAATACAAAATTACAATTTTTATATATAAATATTTATACCGATTTGATAAATCGCCTCTCCATGTCCCTCTCTTAGCCTCCATTTCATCTGAGTGACGAGATGTTCGAAACGTTGACTAGATGGATTTATCAATTTTAATTTGTACTCTATATTTCCTTGCTCTGGTTCTGGTGGAAGTCGGTCCTCCTGATCCTCATCGGTACTAGAAGTATCACAATCTGACAATCCATTTCCCTCATTCTCAGAATCATCCCACTGTCTCTTCCTTAAATCCTTGTCATTTTGCGGATCAAAAAGTTGTAGAAACGACTCCATATCTGCAATTATTAATCACAAATATTATAATTTCCATAGCTATTTTCGTAATTATAAAATCATGAAAAAATATATCCTTTATTCATTCTTTTTTACGTTTAATAGAAATCGCTGCAAAAATTCTAACAAAATTGAAAAACAAAAGATAAATAAATCCAAAAAATATCCCTGTTATTTCTTATAAATTTATTTCTGTATTATTTGTAAAAACAATCTAAGAAATATATTTAAAAATATATAATATGGTTGTACAGAGCTTAAAATAATTTTTCGTAACATGACGTAATACCACATAGAATACAGATTGCATCATCCTTATAAAATGTTTTGTAACTTGTAATTTTAGTATTAATGATATTTTCTGTTTGCATTCTTTTTAACAAAAATATCAAGAGAAATTAAAAAACCTATCACAGTAAAGACTGTCCTAAATCAACAGAGTATCATATATATCACTGTAGGTATATCACGAACTTCTTTGGAGAGAGAAATGATGCAATCTCCGAAAGAGGAAGAATCTATTGTTACTTCCATCAGCCGCTTTCTTCACAAGAGAAATATGCAGTGGTTCTTTCACATACCTATTAGGCCGTATCAGTAAGGAAATTCTTTTGTGTTAAACGGAAATTATTATTTGAGGACTTCCTTTCTTCAGAACAAAGCAGCGTACGTTCGAGGATTCCCGCGACTATGCGGATGTGTGCGTGTACATGTATATAAACGTATGCCCGTTTCATCAAGAGGTCTGACAGATGTAGGTGCGTGTGATGTTGTGACACATCGCGCTAGAACAAACAGTGCCAATGTCAACGCAGATAAGGTACGCGCGATACCCTGAGAGACGATTTCGTCGAGTTCGCGAGAGGGAACGAAAAAAACCAATCAGCCGTGTCGACGAACAGCTGTCTCGAAAGTAAAAGTGACGGTGGAGGAAAAGAAGGGAATCGCGAGAAATAAGTACTAAGTACCGTTCGCGCGTTCGAGCAACGACTGGCGAGACTCACCGCATCTTTTGGATTTCCGTCCCCGGCTCAAAAATCGAGATCGTCCCGTCGAGATCGTGCGTTCAAGTCGGCGGTGCCACCGAAGTCACAAAACATGATAAAGCGCCGACACTTCACCGCGACTTTCTTCTTTTTCTCCTTCCTCCGTGCAACTAGGTCACGAACTGTCCGTCATGTTCCGACAGACTGCGAACGACGGAATCGTAGAACGAAAACTCGTCCTACGAACGATGCTAATCAGTAATCACCAGCCGAGATGGCCGACGGAACCCGACATGAAATATTGCGATATCCAATAGGAAGAAGCATTTCCTAGGAACACCAGCTCACGATCTCTTGTTTCCCCTATGAAATACGTCTTGCTATTGGCAGAGAGATGTCTGAGAGTGGACATGCTCGCGTTTGAAATCGAACTTATCAGTGGGTTACTTTTATTTTATTTTATTTTATTTTATTTTATTTTATTTCATTTTACTTTATTTTATTTTATTTTACTTGATTTCATTTTATTTTAAATCACATCTACAAGTTGTGATTCTCATATATCACTTCATATGCACATTTATCTTACAATAATGGCAATTATGCTGTAGCTCCGTCTTGCTGCTCTTCCATTAACTCCTCGGGTTTTTCCTCGTCGTCCGATTGTTCTTCTACAACAACAATATCCGGGAAATATAATTTCGACTCTTCGATAGCCTTCTCCGGATTTTCGCTCACGTGAAAAGGTCCGATTCCGGCGAAACCCAAAAATGCCTCGCAACCTACTTTCTTCACAGTGCAGACGAATATTTCGTAACTGTAAACATAAAATGAAGTAATTTAGCGCGCAGGCAGGTAGAGTTAAACTTTCTCTTTGCAGAATATGAAAGAAATTAAATAATTCGATGTAACGTTATGTAGTCACTTTCTTTCAGAACTTAAGAGGATTATTCAAATCTATTTACGACCAAAAAATTAACAAAAATGTGAAATTTAATAACAGAACCATCTATGATTGTAATTCAGTATTTTAGAAATGGCAATAAATTTATTTGAATTGTCTAAAATTCTTGAAAAAATCTCACAATTTTAAGATTAATTTTTATTAAAAGTTCTGAAAAAGTAATTATATTATAAAATTTTTAAATTAAAACAGAGGAATGAATACCCTGTTTTTTCTTCCGCACTCATCTCGAATGCCTCTATACTTTTGGCAATCATCTTAGCCTCAGGCGGTTTATCATATTCAAATACACCAAAATTGATAACATCATCATCGAACATTTCCAGAACCATTTTTAAATCATTTTTACGTGTGTAATCATATTT